TATGAATACTCAGGAAATGTTGCTGGAACTAGGAAAACAATGAAATAGCCATTTGGAACCAATCACTGCACAGAGCCCTCATATAAAAAGAGAAATGTGATTCAATCATTTATTTGGCAATTCCAGCGAAATATTAAACTATTTACATAAATACAAGAATAGACTAATTTAGGAAAGTACTTACATGTCCTTTATGTTCACTTTCAAGGCAGATTAATAAAATCCACTGGCTCATGCTCAATTATACCACAGACTAGTCTTCATTCTGTTTCTTCACATCAGTTGGAGTGGATCTGGATTGGACTGAATTTCTGATGTTTTCCCATGACCTCTCTTTTTCTCCTAATACTAATCCCTCATACCTTCTGAAAGATGTGATTCAATATTTGTACTTTTTGAGTATTGAATCATGTTCTTTCTATGTATGGAATTATTTTTATTTTCCAAAGGGACACTAAGTGATGGTTATAATACCTGACCTTGGGTGGTAGAAATGGTGAGCGTGCTTGACTGTTCACCAAGAATTGGCAGTTCAGAGATGTCTTGGAATAAAGACCTGGCAATCCACTTCCAAGAAAATCAGCCATTGACAGCACTGTGGAAACGCTGGAAGGAAGTCCTACTGAGTCCACGTGGGGCTGCGCGCATAGGGTCTGATTATGGAACGTTGTAAGAAAGGAGTTGAAGCTGCCACCCTGAATACTTTGGTTCAGCAGTGGTCGGCTTGCTCTTTGAAGACACATGAGCTGAAGATATTTCTGGAATCAGATAAAAGCCGCTAGCATTGGCAGGGACTGCGAGGAAATGCATTCCTAATTACTTGTCTTTGGCCCTGGCATCCCTGAAACACAACAAAAATAAGCATTTGGAAACTGTCATTAATTGGCAGGTCATCAGGCAAAAATCATTCTCCTTAATTTCAGTTTGGTTAAGTGGATCTCCTCCCCAGAGTTGAAGGTCTCTGAGCAGGTAATAGAGCTCATACAGCAGAAAGGTTACTCTTTCTCTCTGCCCATCTGCACAATCAATAATTAACTCCCAGAGGCTCCGTAGTCATAATGAGAGAAGTTTGAGACTTTCCGAATATCATATGAAATGAAAAGAAAACTCGTTTTCTGGTGTTATGGCTAAGCATTGGGCTGTTAACTGTGAG